CACAGAAGGATGTGGCGACGGGCGTGTCTTCGTTCCCTGATATCCTCAGCTTCGTGGCGTTCGTCCGTCCTTGGCTGGGCGACCCCGTTTCCGATGTTGCGCAGGCTGACCGGCGTGGTCTCTGTCGGCCCTCTTGCGCTTGTTGGAGTTGGTCTCTCGCTCAGTCGCGGCGGCGGCGGCGGGCGATGCGGCGGGCGGTGCGGCGGTTGCAGTGGGAATCGGGTGCTCAGCGTGGTGTTGCTGGCGGGACGCAATGGCGTGAAGGTCCTTGAGCTCGCGCTGGGTGAATTCAAGGCCCGGTCCTCCGGCGTCGTAGATGTCCTGCAGCTGTGGAAAAGATTGTCGTTAGCTTCGGGACTCGCTGCATGGCCAGTGGACAAGGATCGCGGCTGGCTCTAGAGTCTACAAGCAGGTACCTAACACACGTACTTGTAGCCGCTTGGCGTTAGCGCAGAGGCCAGCCCTCTAGGTACTTCTAAGTAGTGAGTACCTCTGAGGTAGCCAATGGCCCATGGGCGGCGGTGGTGCACTGGAGCACATGACTGGCGGCCGGCGACCACTTGGCCAGTTGGGGTCCGTTTCTTTCCCCGGATTGAACTTCCAAGCCGGTGGAAACGACCTCATGCCATGTCAAGACTGGCAGGTATACAGGTATGTAGAGCAGAGCCAAAGCCAGTGCCACTCCACAGACGGGAATGACCAAATCCGTCCAGTCATCCAGGACAGCAAGCCAACCAAAACAAAACTCATACGTACCTTGGCAATGTTCCGGCACGCTTTGCTTTGTTTGTAGACCAGCACGTCTTCTCTGTTACCCTTGATCAGCTGGCTCCCGGCCTCCGAAGCGAGCGTTATATCGAAATATTCCTGTGCCAACAGCTCTGCATCGCGGCCCGTCATGTCCCGGAGGAGATCCCCACAAGGCTTCCAGTAGTAGTGGTGAGTATGACGAGGTGCGTCGCGCGCCAGCCTGCTCATGAGCCATCCCATCTCTCTGAAGGCGGAAATGGAAGCCAGCATCTGGTGCTGCAGGAAGGCTGGGTAGCTGCTCACATCGATGCCGTATTTGGCGCGCCAGGCTCGTCGTAGGAGTTTCAAGGGCGTGGTTAGTTGTCGCGCCGAAAGCGTCTCGAACTTGGATGTTCGTAACCGTTCAAATTCATCGGTCCAGGGGCCGACGATGGGCTTTGCGTCTCGGGGGTCGAACAAAACGGCAGCCATCGCCATCGCCACAAACGCAGGGAATGCAAAGCTAGTAAATCTTTTGTGTAGCTCCCACACGTTGAATGGGACGACGCCTTCGAAACACACCTCATATGTCTCCGCCTCGTCTCCATCTTCGGAGCCCGCCAGATCGGAGACATAGAACATGTCTCCCTCGTTAATCTGCCGGCTAATAGGATTCGACCTGATCCGGGCTATCGGGTCGCCCGGTCGGTGACCAAGATACCAGTTCTCATCGGGGAGGGCGAAACAGGCTGGGAGAACCCCAAACTTTGTCTTGCAATGGGCTTTGTGGAACTCCACGTAATGCCTCTCGTGTCGTGATCGTTTTGTGATAAACTTTTGGAGCTTGCGGCAAACACCGATGAGAGTCCGTTCACGAACTTGCTCGTTCTCGGCTCCCCCAGGCCCGTCGTTCAACAGTTGGAGGTTGTCGCCGTGTACCCTTTGAAATATGTCGAGGACTGCAGCAGCATAACGGCGTAAATCGGTTTCCATCGCTTCCGATTCTTCGATGATGGGGCGATAACGGTCACGCTCGGTTCCTTCAAGTGGCATAAAAGCATGGTGGTAGTTATTCGATTGCCGGTAAGTGCTCCAAGCAGTGCGGATGTTCCGCTGGCTGAGCAACCTGTTGTAAACTTCCTTGGGAACATGAAAAGCAACTTCGATAGCATCATCCGAGAGAGCAGGTGACAAGCTTTTGCCGACGGCAGCGCGATTGTGATCAAGGAGGGTCAGGGACTCAGGAGGGGCGGCACTCCGACCGCATTGAAGAGTAGAATCGGGGGTGGGACTGGACGCCTCCTGGTTCGAGGGAACATTGCCTAAATCACTAGCGGAGGTGGCAGCACGAGGAGTCTGCTCCCTAATGGAGCGAGGGTCGAGGGGAAGCTTGTTGCAAGGGCCAAGAGTGGATGAGGCTGGAAAGCTGCTTTCCCTTCCCGGGGACGACATCCTGGCTGAAGATACAGTAATATATCTACGATGAATATTGGCGACCGATAGCCTGAGATGGGATGGAATACCAATAAGGAGTTACCGAACATGAAGATGGTAGGACTGTGGTGGTTTGCAGGGCCAAAACTGAAGGGAACTGGGAGGAATTCGGGGGTGCAAGAGGGAAGTCAGTAGTGGAGGTATGGCAGAGCAGATGGGACAGTTGCGAGTTAAGTTCTGTCAAGTTCTGTCGGGGAGAGGGGAGAGTGGTAGCCGTGGGCCAGCAGAGGCAGCAGAGGCAGAATAGGCTTTCCCTGCTTCCCTAGGCCATACGTATGCGTGGCTATGGGGGTGGTTTCCGGTACAATGACAGTGCCTGCACGCTGGCACTGCGTATATGAGCCGCTTTGCCAGTCTTTGGTCTCTATTGCACTCGCTACCGGGGAATGGGTAAGAGCCTGGGTAGACGCTTTATCCAGTTGGCATCCCCTGAGCGTGTCTAGCCGTGATTGCGAAATGGTGGGTAGGTGAATCGGATTCCCGAACATGCACACGTGTGCACACGAGCAGCATTCCCTCCGTGACCGCCATTCACCTATAAAACAAAAACGAAGGCGGATTCTCTTCTTTATTCCTGAAGAAATCCTAGGTCAAGAGTCAGAGCTTGCGTTAGACGAGGTACGAGGCAGAGGCATCATCTCGTGCACACGGTCAAGATTCACCAGTACGTAAGAGCAGCCCGAATACCGCCGACATTCACCACGCATTTATCACGCATTCACTATTTTCAGTGCAACGCAACACATCATCTACCCAAGATTCGATGTTCCTACAATAATTATCTTCTGCAGCTGACCGTAGGTATCAAGTTTTTAGTTAGTCCTAACAGTACCTACCTGCCATCAACCTGATCTAAAAATGGATTGAGGCTGCCCACTTGATAGGTCTCTACAGCATTGATATCAACCTTATCCCGAGCATGACTGTCCAGAGCTCAAGACTAGGTATTAGCAAACAAGCAGTTATATGCAATATAAAAGCGTAATTGAACGTAAAACGTAACTCAACGTATCAGCCCTCTGAACCTTTATCTGTAGGGGGCGTACGAGAGGGGGGGGACGGTGGTGTCTAGATCAATACCCCGGGCCGCGGTTTCCATGTGCTCACTCCATCCTTTTAATAACATCGTTATCCGCATTTGTTCTACTCCATCTGCCCTACATTCCATCAACTACGCTGCAGAGGCCCGACCGTCTCCCCGATTCACATTAGAGCCGTCTGCACTCGCCTCCAGTGTTGGACACACGACTTCAAGGACTCCTCCGACCAGCCATGGCTGATCCAGAGCGCACGTCTGGAGTAGGTTCAAGGGATGACGTGGGCACAGCAGACGCCCAACATCCCGGCAGCGATGCCCCGACGCAAACCCGGGACGACGAGCACGATGTGATCCGGGCACTCCGGACGTACGACCGTTATAGCTTCAAGATACGTCAGTACTCTACGAAGGCCCGAGAGATATTTGATGGCCGAGGCCTAGCGAGCTTTGCTGCGCTCGACGACGAAGCCTATTGTAGAATCGCCCTGTACGGTAAACCCTCGCAACATCTCATACGCGTCCCTCGTCATTAGGTTTCCGGACATGCTGTAGCTAATCCTAATCTCTGGCGTCGCAGCTACATCACCCGCCAAGACGGGTTTGCTCACCTGAGCCTCCAAGAACTAATAGAGTTGCTCAATGGCGATGCCCAGGGCGCGGTTCAGATAAGCGAGTGCAGAGCGCAAGCGTGGTCGGCGGACATCCTGAGACGCGCCACACATTTTGTCCGCTCGGCTGTGAGAATGGCCTCTGCCTCTCGAGAGCGACTCGGGCATCTTTGCGAGGCAATGCCCAGGATTGCCCCTAACCTGACTCGGCTGGTTGGTGAAGTGATTGGCGCACGCTTCATTTCCCAGGTAAATCGATGTTCTATCCCAGATGTGAAGGCCTTATTAGACTAATGACCAGTATTGTAGGCTGGCTCAATGGAAAAGTTTGTCAAGATGCCCGGATCTGCATTACAAATCCTCGGCGCCAATGAGGCGTACAAGCGTGCTTTGAAAGCAGGCGGAAGGACACCAAAATATGGGTTAATTGTATGTCTGACCTCGTATTTGTCTACTAGATTATTAGTTTTTCTCCCCGATATACCTAGTCGCTGCCCTGGTTCGTGCTCAGACAACCGTTTTTATTGATTTGGCTTCTCCAGTATAATAGCGATCTTGTCCAGAAGGTAGAGCACGAGCACCGAGGGACAGTAGCCAGGAAGCTGGCGAACAAGTGTACCCTGGCTATCCGTCATGACTTCTTTGCCAAAGACACTTCGGCCGAATTTGGTGGAGATCTACGCCAGCAAGTCGTGAAGGGACTTGAGTTGTTGCAGCCATGGTCTTAGAGGACGGGCAATTCGGAGGATTCATGAGCCAGAATAACAGGTGTCCGATCGTGCGGCTATTCTCTTTGCTTGATACGCGAAGCATGCTGCGGACACGGTTCGATCCTGATAGGACAACTTCTTCATATACAGAGCATCCCTTAGGATTTGCAACCCACGCAAGCGCGCTCGCTGATAACCGGGCGTTGCGCGCACGTTGAAGAGTTCCACGATGGAGGTCACAGGACCCAAAAATGAGCCTCACAGAGCTACTATGTATGTTATGTCGTCTGTGGCTTGGCCCAGCCACATCTACGGATAGACCGACCCCCCACTTCACTGTCCACTTTTTGAATCCTTTTTTCCAATACATAAAAATGCAGAAAAAGAGAAGCATAGTGCTGTAAGAGCGCGCAAAAAGCATGACAAGAGCGAGATTCGAACTCACGCAGGTTGCCCTAGAAGCATACTGCCTGTCTGCTAGACAGGTAAGGATTACCCTTGAAACTTCCGCCATAACCACTCGGCCATCTTGCCAGGATATTTTGTAGCGATTGCTGTTGGTCCCAACTTTGCCATTGCTTATCAGTACTACTGCTTGGGCCCTTAAGGAAAAAGAGCTATGGAGATGTAGGTACATGGAAAAAAAAGTTCAGTTGACAAGAGCGAGATTCGAACTCACGCAGGTTGCCCTAGAAGCATGCTGCCCGTTGAACGGGTAAGGTTTCCCTTGAAACTTCCGCCATAACCACTCGGCCATCTTGCCCCGACATTGCGTCATTGGATGCTTGAAACGTAGCCCTGCGATGCTATATTCCCCTCCCCGGCCAGAATAGCCATGTATCAACACCTGTCACCTCCTTGATAGGGAGGACTCTCAACTAACAGCATTCGCGTCAGTTGCCGCCGACGCAAATAGCAACTGTCTGATAATGACTTTCTATTCGCCTATGCGAATGTTATTGGAGACTATCTCAGGCACCGTATCCTGAACAGCCGGCATGCCATCCACGACATGCACCTTAGACTGTTGATGTCGGATAACTTAGCGGTATATTGAAACGCTAGTTAGGCGGAGTGCTGCATCATAACCTACCTAGGTAGGCAATAATAGCAAGAGGCCCAATAGAGTTAAGGTTGTTGGGGGCACGGCTTGCGTGTCGAGGAGCATGTACTAGCAGAAACAAGGCCGGCCTATGAGGATTGTTGAACGGGTACGTATGGGTAGTAGACGGACTACGACTTCATACTCCGCTTCGCAGGCTTCAAGCGGTGACCTGAAACGATAATATTGGACTGCTAGAATTTCGCGGGATGCACGATTGCACTCCATGGAGGCCTTGAGCAGGCCTATCACTTGGGGTGGCTGTACCATCCCCTCAAGAATGTAGTCAGGATCCGGGGAGCGTCCATAGCACTTTAACTCTTCGTTCGGGGTTCTCCCAATAGTGCCGGTACACCGAACTCGTTTGACCACGCATGCAGATCTTATTGAAGGTGAGAAAGGGCTATGTCGTTTATTCAGCCCCGCAGCTGTCATCCGAATACGATGTAATGCCATGACATGAGATACACGCCTTAGAGGAATTACGAGCTTAATACCATAGTGGATAGACGTACGACTCATGATATGCTATAGCGATCCCCTCACTAGACCTGGAAGCATCCCCCCCCCCCCCCCGCCCTCAAGTGGTCCGGCAGAGTCTGAGGATGAAGACTTGTAATATATTGCAGTAAACTTCGGCAAGATCCTATTCTGTTTCAGCTCTTTGTTTTGAGGATCTGGAGATGGGTGTGGAGACTTCATCGCCTTTTAGTTCGGCTTTCTATGGTTGACCGTCGTGTGCCAAACTGGCTAGGGCTTCGAGGTCATTGATATCAGTAGGAATTAAGCTGATATTATATAGAGCGCATGTAGAACTACGCACTCACCCCTGGAAGCCGAAGATCACAGCGCAGGTGTCACACGTACACCTGTCACAGAAGCTGAACAGGCCGTGACACTCGATATTTCGGGTAGTTGAATACAGCCCCAGGCAGGGTAGCTGGAGGTCTTAGGCAAGGTAACCGGAGGTCGGAGATCCTAAGCGAAGGTCTTAGATAGACACTGGCCTAAAGATAAAATACCTAGCAAAGGAAGTGAGGCTATTCAGAGTATTATAGCTAAGCCGAATCGCCCGTCGCGAGAGGCCAGGAGATAGATCTAACCAGGTCACCTTAACTCCATAATTAACTATCGTATGAATAGAAGACTACCCTTCTAAGCCCTCCATACGAGCCCTTGGTTTGTTACAGCAGAGCACAACCCAGGTATCTAAGCTGGAAGAACAGACTCTGCCGGTATAGATATAATTTAGTGCAATAAGAACAAGTCAATACCAGAAGTGCCAGCAGTGTGGCCTGAGACAGTAGTACACCAGTGCTCCTACCATCATCTAGACTTCTAGATTTTGGCTTCCCCCTTTGACTAGGTAGCTTAGGTTACGACCATGACCTCACCTGTGTTAGGCTCTCGAAACCCCAAAAGAACGGTAAAAAGGGTCTAGCACCACGAAATGGCGCCGCTCTGTGCTGATAACGGCTTAAGGCATTTATGATAATTGGGTTGTTCGATGAAGTTGGAACGGGACAGGTTACTTCAACTTACAAGTCAGGACAGAAGGGGGTATTCGACACTGGTATTCCATTCATGTCAACCCGCTATTCATGATCAAGACAGGTATATAGTATTGACATTCCACTATACTTTTCAACCAGAGCCATCACGATGGTATATACCAACTATTATGTAGCTTATTGAAGCCCAACATTGGGAATTTAGAGTCTAGGTATTAGTCTGACGAGGACAAACAAAGTACATTTCGCCGAGCTTTTGCCGCCCGAGCAGCAGTCTTGGCACCCAGTCAATGCACGTCACCTAGGCGATCTCTGCCTGGACTTATTGCTCGTCCTCCTCGATCTTTGGGGGGTATTTTATTTTTTAGACGATGGATCCATCCCAGGGCGTGCTACCGACCTTGCCTTTGAGAGGCCACACAAGGAATAAATCCGCAGCGAGAGGTAAGTGCAGGGACCATGAGCCCAACCTCCAAGAGCGAGCCGAGGCGGAAGCCGTGAATCGCGGCTCCTGTCTTGACCGAGTCTCGACTGCATAAGCGCAACTCGAAAAGAGATGGGCAGAGACAGAAGGCGTCTACGCCATACCGGCCATGCGCCTTCTCTATTTGTGTTTTATCTGCCCATCTGCTATTCGCCCTTCGCCGCCTCTCAGGGCCTCCCTAAGGATCAAGATGCACATTCATCCGTCTGCCTTGCCAGCCCACCGCGAGTTTCTTGATTACCTGTTTCGTCTATCCATCTACTGCAGCCACCGCCGCTATGCTATTCGCTAACCTTTCCGGCTTTCTAGCGTCTCGGCCCAGGTCGTCAACAAAGGGGCCCCTAGACGTAGATGAGTATGCGCTCGAGCCCAGGAGCCGCACACGAGTGTTAGAGGAGAAGGACTAAAGCACCCCGCAGTAGCCTCCCGACCTCACCTGCCGTGCTATCACCAGCTAAGCGCCTCAGCGGCGGCACGAGCGGGAATGCGAGCCCGCGGTCTCCGATGCGGACCGCCGCGCCCGAGTCCGAGGCCCCGGCGACGAAGCGGGACTTCTCGTTCCTCCTGAGGCCCGAGATCTACCACCAGATCTCCCCGCTCGCCGTGCCCTATCCCTTCCGGAACCCGGCACGGCAGCCCGCCGCCGACACGCCGATCACCGCCCTGCTGGCCGGCGGGCACTTCCGCGCCGCCGCCATCGCCGCCGCCCAGGAGCTCACGGGCGCGTCGGCGTCGGTGTCGAGGCCGCCCGTCGCCCCGACGGACCACGCGCGCATCTTCGACCTCCTCTACGTGCGGCTGTCGTGCCTCTGCCTCGTCGGCGCCGTGCCGCTCGCCGCGCAGGAGGCCAAGGCGCTGGAGGACCTTAACTCGGCCTTCTACGCCGCGGACCCCGAGGGCGGGGACGGCGCGCACCTCGCGCCCTGGGCCCTGCGCACCCTCGTCGTGCGCCTGCAGACCATCGGCTTCGGCGACCCGCGCCGCGCCGTCATGAGCTACTACGAGCTCGCGCGCGAGGCCCGGGCCGGCGTCGCCTGCGCGGCGGCGGCGCATGACCACTCGGCCGCCGAGACTTGGAAGCGCCGGCTCGTGGACCTCGGCGTGCGCGTCGCCGGCGCGCTGGTCGAGATGGACGACCTCGCGGGCGCCGCAGCGCACCTGGCCTCTCTGGCGGAGGCGCGCGACGGCGGTGGCGGCTCCGAGGTCGACCGTGGCCGCCTGGCCGCGAGCCGCGCGCTGCTGTGGCTGCATATCGGGGACGTGGACGCCGCGCGCCGGTGCGTCGGCCAGGGCACCGCTGCCGGGGAGACCACCCAGCACGTTGTCGATGCCCTCTCTGACATGGCGGACGGGGAGTACGAGGCCGCCCTGGGGAAGTGGCGGGTTCTGCGCGACGAGATGGCGGAGAATGGTGTGGAAGACGAGATGGTCGGCGTGAACTTGGCTGTGTGTTTGCTGTATACTGGTCGAATGCCTGAGGTATGTCTTTATCACTTCTCCCTCATTCTTTCTCCCTCACTCGCCCTCTGTTTCCTTCTCATCCCGACTTCCTATTTCATTTCTCTTGTACTATAAGGTGAAGCTTGAGTAATTGGTTGTGCCACTAACACGATGCATGTAGGGCCGAGACCTTCTAGAGGAGCTCGTCGGCGCCGGGCAGACCTCGCATACGCTGCTGTTTAACCTCACGACCATGTACGAGCTCTGCAGCGATCACGCCAAGAACCTGAAGATGCGCCTCGCGGAGCGTGTTGCGGATACGGACCCTCGGCCCGGAGGCGGCTGGGAGAAGACCAATGCGGACTTCAAGCTGTAGTCGCGTAGATGCCCGTCTTTTCCTTGTGAGTGGGATTTAGGGATCAGGATCCGGGATGAATACAGGATCGGGCCGGGTCGCTATGATGAGAAACGATAAAAATAATGTCTTTAATTGCTTGGTAACTATTCACAATAAGAGAGTTTGAGTCCTTTAAAATGCTATGGGCTATGCATACACCGCGAATGTGATCATATATCAGCGTATTATTTACCACCCAATCAGCAAAGATTACTATCCCTGTCTATCAACGCAAAGCTCGAGTAGAGACCCAAAATTTATCTCCGGGGGTATCTCAAACCATACAGGTTATGATGCGCCGACGTCGAATATCCTTCATCCACTACTGCGAATACCTTTGCCGTCTCCGTCCTGGAATAGCAAGCGAGGCTCTAGCAGCTGGATGATCCACGCATGGAAAGTTGCTTGTGCGATAAGCATAGGAATGAGGGGCTTCGCTGTCAGCACCGCTCCTTTTCGACAGGCTGGTGCCAGCATCCAAGTCAAGGCTCTTCGCCGGGTCAATCGCCTCAACTAGCCAAGGTTCGTCTTCGCCTCGGCGGGGGCTCCGCTCTCAGCATGCTTTTCCGAGCCGGAGACGGTGCGCTTGGTTGCGCCCTT